TTGACTSGTGTGACTTTAATAAAGACAGAAAGCTTCCTCCTTCCCAGAGCAGAAAGCAGAATGAGGTGGGGGAGAACAGGGGRCAGTGATGAAGACCAGAATAGTCCTCTCACCAGCAAAATTGGAATGAATGGAGAGAACATTAAGTGCCCAAACACCTTCCCAGAGATGTCAGGTGAACAATGGCTTTGTGCTAATACAGTGCCACTTCTAACTTAACTGTCCTCCTCAAGGGTGAAGGTTACCTAATGAAATGACAGTCTTCAAATACAAATAATTTCACAATTAAGTCACTGGTCCTAATACAGCAAGACATGGAAGCTACTGCTTAAAACTAGGCATGAGGACAAGTGCTTTGTCTTTCTCCCATCATCAAGCGCTTGAAAAGGTCAGAATGAAGATTTGGGTTTTGGGGGCAGTTGAGGAGTGTAACCCTCTGTCACATCTACATCGCAGCAAAATGTAGTGCAATCATTTCTTAAGTGGTGAACATAAACGATGAGTTCCTTGTTCAGTTTAACCACCTGAGCCATTATGACAAAACAGCATTTAAGGTAATTCATTAACTTTCTAAAAAATAGATCTATGCTGGGSTTTTCTACAGGTTCAATTTAATGCACATTTCTTTTAGTATTGTCAGTCCAGTGGGTGAAACTAATGAATTGCATAATGAAGGGTGGARCTACCTTAAATCAGTTTTTTCACTTGGAAATTGTTCTGTGGACCTGCATATAAAGTTGTTTCTACCTATGTAACTCTTCAATAGATATAGCACAGAAAATCTATACTGACTCTTTTTTTAATGTCAATGCATATCAGCAGGATTTAATGGAAACTGATGAAGGATAAAGATTGAMTAAAGAGATGTTTTGCTAAAGGAAAAATAAAACCACAGATAGAATTGAATCTAATTTAAAATGAAGAATAGTGAAGGGAAAGCAATTGACAATACTGGGTTTAAAAAGAAAAGGCTCTCAAAATGGTGTGTTTCAGTTAACAATATTTACTGCCACCAGCCTCTTCAATTCCTTTCACAAGGAGAGAGGGGTCCAGCAGCCTAGCAGGACTGTACTCAAGCAGTCTGCTTCCATAGAAGTTTTCACAGATTTCCCTGTACTGGTCACTGGGAGAAGAGGGGCAGAACACACCCTCCCTAACTCCAGCCTTCTGYCATCATTTGAAGATTTGCTTGGTGTCGGGACTTAGTGCCACAAAAAAGCCCTCCAAGACTGCACACAACCGCACACAATGCAGGCATTGTGCAGGGACAAGGAAACCATAAGTAGCAAAAAAGCTCCCCAACCATTAGTCATACATTCCTATTTAGAGGTTAGAGTGCTTTATCCTGCTCAAGATATAGTGAAAAATGTCCCAGCTCCTGGGAGTTTCAGTCTGAATYCATACACTTAGGGTAAGATCAAACCTTATTTAATGCTTTTGTAGAAGTATATGTTGCAGCCAGGTTCAAATACTGGAAGCTTCAGTTCTTCTTTTAAAAATGTTTTTAAAGGCTCAGAACTGTKAGAATGGGGAGGTTTGTTAATCTTGTGAGCAAATAAACAAGCAAAATGCCCCCAAATGCTTGTTCTGAGTAGGCTCGGAGGTGCTGGAAGGCTTTAGGTGGCTGTCTGTGATCTGGGCTTCATCTGACAAAGCCCTCTGCACCAGAGAATGGATTTATTGCATCTGTCCATCACCACAACTCATTACATGGAACATCAACTGTCACATATTTTCCAACATATTAATCTCCATCTAGGACATGAAGTTGTTGTGAGTGCTATTTGTTATTTGATATTTCATTCTCTCAGCCTGCTCCAAAAGCTGCTTAGTTAAGAAAGATCAAAATGCAGAACAAAATTTCTTTTTAAAAAACATAATTACAGAGACTCTTGGACTGTTAAAATGCAAGAATACTGTGATAGTAACAAGTGTTATAAATGTTATTTTAAAGCATGACCCGCWCTCTGCTGGTCTCTTAATAGCAGTGTGCTTAGAGGGGGAAGAAGGCTGTATTTGGAGCAGTTATCTCCTAGGCAGGCAATAGCATCTGGTGATATTAAAATGTCATCAAATGAAAATATATGCAACAGAGTCCACCTCATTTGAATATGAAATGCAAAGACAATCCAAGGCAGACAATTGCTTGTTTAGAGTGATATCTGAATACAAAGGCTGGATCATCAATAATAGATAAAGATTTTTTTGCTCATTGCAAATTAGAGGTAGGATGGGTATTCTAGTTTTGTTTTTTAAATATTTATTGCATTAGCAAGGCTGGCTTTTACAAAACACCAAGCAGAGTAAAAATGTAAAATACGAAGTGAGAAGAATTAATTTTATAATCTGACACTAGGATAAAGCATCCAAGCCCTCTATCAGCTACACTGAAAATTAGATAGTAACATTCTGGTAGKTCTGTCAAAGTCAAATACAGAAGCAATTGTTAAGTGTTGATAGGCAGTGGATAGAAGGTGTAATCCACTGGGAAGGTTTTGATCCAAAATGAAACAGTTTTCTACCCCTGCTAGTCAGGCAGAAATCTAATTACTCTCTTTTGATCTCTATGGAGAGGTAAACCAAAGAGTTATAGGTTATGGACAGTTTTATTGATTTTTATCTCAGAAATCAACAAGTGCAGGCTTTACACTTTACACATACTTGCTTAGCTGGTGATAGGATCAAATATTTCAAACTGGCTTTCCCTGCTACCTAGTCAATAAGCCTCTTAGCTGTTTTGTTCAAGTTGCACTGTGGATGTTAATATTACAGAACTTTTTGCACTTAAAAGCGTTGAGAAGATTGCYAGGTTTCTATTCGGGCATTTTAACCAAAATCTAAGCTTTTTTCCCCATTTACTTATTTCTCTCTTGCAAGATTGCATTGTTATATTATGGCTGTAACTGGACAAGCAGCTGTGTTTTTATCTCTGCATGTGAGAAAAGGATCTTCATTATAAAGGCAGCAGAACCACAGTCTGAAAACGAAGCATCTGCCAGTTTCTGGACGTTTAGCAACCCTTCCATGGTCAAAGTAGAAAAGCACAACTGCAATTCAGTTGGCAGCAGCAGCTAAAACTATTTYGGGAGTGCTCACAAGACTTTCTAAGGTAGTCCTGGAGTGCAAAGGAGAAAGAGTTCTGTTTCTGGGATCTGCAGTGCAYCTTCGAGAAATCAGACAAACTTCACTCTTGTATTCTAGCACTGAAATATACCTTGGTCCTTAGTCACAGTGGGTGCAAACATTTCTGCAAATGCCTGTTCTCATCGACTACAGCGTATGGAAATATTTAATCTTAAAAAAAAGCCAGCCCTTCTCCAAGCTACTTCCTGTAAATCCTATGCAATTTTGCACTGTGAATTCAGATGTGGGCTGAAAAGATCAAGGAGAGAGGATGCCTTGTTTTTCATGAAGACCTTCTTATGGACCTTTTTGATTAAGTGTAAATGTGTGTGAAAGATTTCACTGGTGGTCTCACCTAAAACCTTGGCGTGCAATCATGTCCTCAATCCAGCAAACAGGAGTTGTGGTGTCAAGCTAAAAGATGTCGAGATTTCATGCCARCTTTTTAGAGGTATAATTATTTGAGGTCTGTTGTTAATTATACATATTCATGCAATCTAATCAGTCTTCAAGAATGTGCATCAATTCAGGGTCTGCTTGTTCATCCACACAAAAAAGCCAGTTATTCTCATTTAACTCCAGTGTCAGAGCCGCAGGCACAGACACAKAGCCTGGGATGAGTGTAGCTTTGTGATTATTTTGATAGCTTCTCTTCTTCGTGTCCTGGGAGATAAGGCTGTTTCTCCCACAGCTGCACTTTTTCCTGAATGACTGACAACCCCTTTAGAGGAGATCAACCCCTTTTTGTGCCCTTTCACTCACTCGGAGGTTATCAGCTAAAACTGCACTCAGCATTCAATCACATCTTTCCCCTGTGGCTGTAACTCCTGTTAACACAATTAACCTTCTGATGGGAACATAAAATGAATCTAGGGAGGGAAAAAGAGCAGAAATACATTCCCATGTTAAGGATTAAATGGCCTTAGTGCTTATAGCAGTGTTTTTTCACCTCTCTCTCTTCTACAACATTGTGTGTAAGGGGCTATTAGCAGGAAATCACCTGTCACAAAATTCTTCCTAGTAATCCCAGCAGCTCTTATTTTATCAGTGGTTTGGGGTTTTTTTAAAAAATTTATTTTAAGATTAATGGAAAGTATTATGGAACATAAAACCAGATAGGCAAACAAATACAAATTTGTATTTATTTGTGTTTTCGTTTCCCTACCTGCCTCCCTCCCACCAAAAAAAAAAAAAATCTAAATCTGAAAGACACTGTTTGACAACCAACATTTCCCTTTTCTTTGGCAGGRGGGAATGATGGGGAATAATAATATCCATCTACTTTTGGGTGGCTCTTCCTATGGCAGCATTTTTAAATGATAAACAAACCCATTGTATGTTCATGTTTGTTCTCTTTTCCTGGCTGTTTCTGTACTGAGCTCYGTAGAACTCTGTATGTGTTCTCCTGGCTGTGCCCTAGAGTGTATCTACTCTAAGCATGTTTTGGCCACAGTATTTTTGAGAAATCTGAGTACATCCCCAGYACTCCCATAACTGAGATAGGATTTTTCATCCAATTTTTCCCTCTTTAACTCCCTCTTTGCTGCATGGGTGGCWCATCGTCCTGAAGAGCCAGGGATCTGAGATGGAGGACAGCATCACACACAGTTARTAATGTTGGAATGTGTCCCTGGCAAAATAGAGGAAAGTTTTTGCAGCTGGACACAAGTTCCTTGTGCTGCTGAAGAGCCAGGGGAGCTCTGTGGATCTTCCAKTTTGTAGATGAAGCTTCTATAGGGTTTGCAAAAGAAAAGCACGGAAACACAGCTGATGGGAAAAGGAAGATGCAAGGATATCAGCTGACAGCTAAAGATTGGGCTAATTTTCATTGTGGGTTTTTTTCTCTGTTTCATACCTTTTTTCTCTTTTCTGTTCAGATGTGTTAGTTGCTCACCTATCCTTGTCCTGAGAATTGATTGTTGCATCCATGGGAGATTGCTGGCATGAAGAAAACACTTGGAGTAATTGAGGTGAGGAAGGCTGATATCAGGATTGCTTCTCCCTTTCAAAGGAACTATGAACTTCACCAGAAAACTGTTTTGCTTGAAAGCARACCTCATTCCAGGGGATGCAGGATCCATGTTGACACAATTGAAACATGGCTTATTGCTGAGCCAGCTGGGAAGCCCATAACCAGCATGGTGGTGGATGGGGGGCAGCGCCATCAGCTTGGGATTTCCCACTGGGGAGAGACATRGATGCAAACCAAATGGCTGCAAAAATATGAATGCAGGACATATTAAGCAGCTCTTATCCTCCCAAAAGGCATATGTGCTGGGGTGTTATGTAAATCTTGAAAGGATATAGCCTCCAGCTCATCCCATTGTTAGAAAGGATTAAGCTTCTGCAAGTGCTGGACACTTAGGGATTATGGTTCAGCATCCAGAGGGGGATGCACCCAACTGACTTGTGGTGTTTAAGAGCTTTATGCCTTCACTGAACACCTACAGCTGTTAGGATTTCTTTTGCTTGGTTTCTGGAAATGTCAGGACAGATACTCTTGGTTTTCCCGTGTTCCATTGAAATGCAGATCACCATGAACTCACTTTCCTGGATCCATGCACAGATGTGCTACTGAAAAGCAGTATTTGAGAGATGGCATCATGTCTTCTCCACTAAGCTTGGTCACCTTTACGCAGAGAATCTACCACTGTCCTCCTTCATGCCTGAGACCCACAACTACACCAGGTCGATGTGTCACCACAGAGCACAGCMCTTCAGATTACTTCTTCATGTAAAAGTTCAGTGCTGTGGTCCAGCCCTTGGCATTCAGTGTCTGAGCTGGCTCTGCAGTACAGGAGTGATGTGGTTATCAGTCCTTCTGATAGAGTGTCTTGGTTTGAAGAGCTGGAGCAGGCACTGGCTGGAGGCGGGGCTTGTGCTTTACTACACAATACATCAAACCTCTGGTGCGGCAGCTTCTTCAGAAGAGGAGAGAAGATTTTCACTGCCCCATGTACCCCTGTGCAGGGCTCTGTCATTCTGCACTGGGGGATCTGCTTACCAGCATCAGGGGACTCAACCAAGAGTGGAGAAGGTTAGGAAACATGTGACCTGCTTATGGTGTCACTTAACATAGCTGTAGACTTATGGAAAGCAGTCTTCTCACACAGTTTTTGGAGGGAAAAAAAAGAAAAAGAGAAGAGCTTAATTGGGAAATTACCTGAAACAATTCTGTAATATAGAATATTTCCTCTTCCTCACTTTCTTAAGATGGAAGTGATGGGACAACCTCCTGCACCGGTAACTGAAAGGAAGTTATACCTTCACTTAATCTGTTTTTCATTGAGATGAAGTCTTCTTGTTACAGATCCAGAATGTAACTGAGGCTGCACAATCCAGGCTGTCCACTGCCGTTTTCTACTCTGCATTCAACAGCTCAGAGCCACAATGGACAGCAGTGACAGACAAGTGGTGTCCCTCAAGGGTCTGTGTTGGGACCAGTTATTTGCTATCTTCATTAATTACATAGATGAAAGGTTTGAGTGGATCCTCAGCTAATTCCCAGATGAYACCAAGCTGAGTGATGCTGCTGAAACACCTGAAGGATGGGATTCCTTCCAGAGGCACCTGGACAAGCTCAAACAGGGGGTCAGGGTAATCTCATGAGCTTTAATCAGACCAAGAGGGTAGGCTTAGGTTAGGTATTAGGAAGTAATTCTGTACTGTGAGAGTGGTGAGGCAGTGGAACATGGTGCCCAAAGAAATGGTGGATGCCCCATCTCTGGAAGTGCCCCATCTCTGGAAKTGTTCAAGGCCAGGTTAGATGGAGCTTTGAGCAACCTGGTGTAAGTGGAAGGTGTCCCTGCCCATGGCAGGGGGTTTGGAACGAGGTGATATTTAARGTCACTTCCAACCCAGGCCATTCTAGGACTCCATGATTATCCAGCTTTGCTCATCTGAGCTGAAGCTAAGAAAACAACAGAGAAAATGAGAGAAGATGTGAATAGGGTGAGAACTGGTATATCAAAACATCTGCTGTTCTCCCTTTTTTTTGGCTTTTGCTTTCCACTCCTTTCATTCCAGTAGGAAGCATTTCTTGAAGAAACATGAGTAAAATCCACAGGTCTGCATTTCAGAAAGCAGTTTTTAAACTTTCAGTCATGGCAGACATTTTCATCYGTATTTTCCATGCACAAAAACGGTGATGGAAAAATATCAGAGCAAAATTGGCAGTGTGTGCCTGGAAGTCCCTTTGAAAAAAATAGACCCATTCTAAACTGTATTTCACCCTTAGTCCTAAATAACTGGTTTATGTTCCAGGTGAATTTCTACAGCAATTTTCAGTTCTACTTTTTCAATTATCCATTTTCCCCTTATTGAGATCTTAGTCATTTCCATTTACTTCTGCAAAGTCTTTTTTTCCTGTTMACAGTGCCATTATGCCTTCCCCGACTATTTCTTTGAAATTAAGTGCTTGGTTCTTTATCTTTTCATCATTAATTACTGATGTCTTTTTGACCTCTGCTTTGTAACCGACCATGTCATATTTCTAGCTATTTCCTATCTTTTAGGCTTGTTTAAGGTATTTTTTTCTTTAACRACCTGCTCTGAATAGCTTTGTTCTTGTTTTTCAGTCATTTCCCAGAATGGCCACGCAGCGGAACCTTTGCCCTCCTCTCTTGTTTTTCATCTTGTCTCTGCTGTATCAATGGCTTAGTTAAAAATGTATTTTACAGCTTGCTGAGRCCAAACCTCTCTCCATTTTTATAATTATGCTGATTATAATAYCAAAAACCTTTTGCTATGATGTGGGCCAGTTAGCACCTTTCTTTTGAGGGCCAGATGTAGCCCAGGGTGTGAACAGAAGTGGGTGCTGCTATTAGACTTGGGGTTTGGTTTAGGAGAACACAAACAGAAGCCATGAGTCTTGAATTAGTGAAATGTTAGTTTAAATGGCTGAGGACTTTTCCTTTGTAAAGGTTGTGAACTTTCTTTTGGCCAGYTCTTCAGTGAGATGGGTGGATCTTTGGTACTTCAGGAAGACTCAAACCTGTCATTAGGTATCAAAATTATTTCTTGGACTGGTTTCAAATATACCATTTCACCATGCTTTACAGTATCATTTTCATTTGCTTCTTCCTTCTTAATCATTCTCCAAGGTTTTTTTTTTTTTAATAATTGAAAATATTCAAATAGTTCATAAATTATTTTCCTGTCTTTGCCAAATCTCCCATTAGTGTCAGCAGAATCTCATTTAGCAGGCAAAGTTAGACTCCACCATTGCCTCTCAGTATTCCTTTCTCAAGGAGTGATGGCTAGGAAGGAAGACCAGCTGTTTTTTCAAAACTGTGAGAGTGCTGGGCCTTGTTGCTGAAATATATTTAATATATGTGTAGGGGGTGACATGATAAATGAAGGCGTTTGCTGTCATTTTGTTCTTTTAAATAAATAACTGAGTGTAATGAGTCTCAGCCACAGAATGAATGTAATGAACCTCAAAAAAATATGTTGTCTGAGAGCAATATTTACCACTGAGGAWGGGATTGTTAGAGAAATGAGAATTGTTTAGACGTTAGTGGGTGAGGTAAGAATCTATTAAAGGAATTAAAAGCAAAGATGACTCATCACACATTTCTGCTTATTTGTAAGAGACACATGAAAGGCAGGGATTTCAAAACATTTGTATAGAAAAACATCAATAACAAAGCCCCCTGATTTAATTTTTTCATCTCACGGGCTTCAAAAGATGTGACTTTTCCACATTTGCCTTTAAAAACACACAGCACTGGAAACTAGAAAAGGCATGCTTTGCTTTGCTACATTTAATTTCTAGAGTAGTCACCTCTAGGTGATATTTACACCATTTTCTTCTCCGCAAAAATCTAAAAACTGYTTTGGTTGCACTGAGAGTCAGGTTTCTGATACATGGCAAAGGGGAAAGCGCCTCTCCTCGCTGCCGCCGAGGCTCCTGCGCTTGCCGAGCAAAGCCGGGCTCCCCTCCTGCTCACACTCGCTCCGCGGACGCTGCCCTTCTCCAGCCAACCCACYGCTCTCCCTGCTAAGAAAATCCCTCTGCAACAGAGATCGAGGSAGCCAACCAGCCCTCCGTGTTTTGCTTTCCGTGCCGTGGGCAGGAGACCCCTGGAACGGCTTAGTGTAATGATTTAGGCACAATTCAACAGGGCCAGGCTTTTATGAGGTTATGTGGGTACTGGAGCAAAGTGTCACAGCCCAGCTGCAGTAGAAAATTTGTCTGAAAGTGTTTTTCAAAGCAAAATACAGATAACATTGATAATATAATATTGATCATATAATACATTATAATGTACTAAAACTAGAGAATTTTTTGGGTTATAGGAGGTAAATAGACAATACAGGAACAAAAGCAAAAAACAGAGAAAGAAGTGGAGCAGAGGAGAATATGTACRTAGAGAAGCAAGCTGTTAGCTGTTAGCCAGTGCAGTGACTATCTTGTGAAAARAACGAGTTACAGTTGAGAAAATCTCTATCCCTTTCATTGTACCACTTAAGTTTTGCTGAACAATATTATTTCAGATGTCTCCTGCAAATCCATCGTCTGTTAAAACAGCCCTTGGAAATGAACTGGTTTGGACGRGCTCCTGCTAATTTTGACACGGCAGTCAGGAAAGCCCTGATGTGGTGGAAAGCAGCAATAATTTGCCCAGCAAGGAAGAGGTAYGTCAAGGATCAAACACACTCATAAGGCTGAGCAGCAGCTGGGAAAGAGGGAGCCAGGGAGGAGAGGGAAGGGTGACCTGGCTGTTCCCAGGTGAGACAGAGCCACTTGACCAAGCGCTGCTGGGGGGAGTCGCGACATTGCTGCTGCTCCTCTCCCTTCCTCAGCTCCTGACTYGGCAGAGCCCAGTGACACCGAGTGGTGACAGGCAGGGTCCTGCAGCTCTGATGGGATGAGAAGTGCCACACATTCAGGAAAATGAGACTGTGCTGAGCTCAGGGCCGCAGGGTCAGAGTAAAACTCCTGTGAGATTTCTCCAGTCTGCCCCATAGGGTCATCAGGAATGAGAAGGGTAGGCAGAGGGAGAGAGGACAAATGTGGCGAGGAGGTTCTGAGATTTCACATCCTTCTTTGAAAGGTGCTCTTGGGTCTAGCAGGGTCAGCAGAAACTGAAGGGAGCTACTTGRGGCTGTGGAGGCATCCTCCCCAACCCCTGAAAAAGCACCAGCTCCTGCAAGGGCTGGGTAGAGTAGGCACTGAAACACAAACTGGCTCCTGGGGGTTTTCCTTTTTAGGAAAAAGTCATCGCTTTCTGAAGTGTAACTTTATGGGAAAAAAAGGTAAATAATTCTCATTTTGAGAATTAAGAAAAACTGTTTATTTTAATTACACTTTTTCTCTTTACCCTATACCACTTAAAATGCCAAACTGCATTTTCCTCTCACTTGAAGATACAAAAAGCCACATAAACATAAACCAGACATAGGACATTTCAACCCAGGAACCAACTGTTTTCAGATTCATMATGGTCTAAGAAAAATGCCTTTATCCTAAGAAATATCACATAGCCATAGGGGTCACTGCCATATTTGTTACAATACACAATACTTACAAGTCCTAACTTGGACATTTTTTAWTGTGATTTTCATTTCTGATACAGTTCTGTTTGTGTATCTTCCAACTGAACATACTGTGCTTCTGTTTAACTGTCTATTTATAGTCATAAGAGAAATAAACATATAAAATAAATGCATCTTGATGCATAGCTGTGCAGCAGTACAGATGTTTTATTAATGAAAATGAATCCAGCTTTTTGTAAGTCATGGCAGCAATATAACATATCATTGTTTGCTTCTCTGCTACATGGTCCCTGCTGTTTTTACATAGAAATTCCTGTAATACTTAAAGGACATCTGGAAGAATTCAGCCAATTAATCGAATTCACGCAGGAGCTAGGCTAATGGCTGTCTGAAAGGCAGATTACATTAAATCAAACTTGCAATATGAATGAAAGTACTTAATCATACATGCAACATTCATTAGAYGTGGCACAGCAAGTGTTTTGATTACTTTAATGAAAGATCAGGTAAAGTGCATCAACTGAACAGATTGAAGAGACAGCATGCTTACAAATGTTTGATTATGTTGACTATCAACAGAAACAGTGCCAGTAATTTATAGCAAAACATATTTGGAGGAGGAGGAGGAGCAGGAGGAAGATGAGGATGGAGCTGGTGAACTTGGGAGGCAAAGTGAAATTTAGGCCTTGCCTCMAACCACTTTAATTGATATTTAGGATAGCAAGACTTAAATCTGATGTCACAAAAGAAGCAAAACAAATGTAAGCGGAAAATCCTGTATGGCAACTGCTAGGGATTACTTTTGTTAACAGTTCTTGGAGCCTGATGCTGGTTTTGAGTGCTCTCTCTGACTTTGGAGTAAACAAAGCTAAGTCCTAAATGGAAAAAAAATACTTTCAAAACAATGAGATATATGCACAGTAKTTTTCCCCTGGGTTCTGCAGGAGACATCCTCCAGTCACCACTGTTCTTGCCTTCTATGCAGGAGAGCAGATGGAAGGTGAAGAGGAGCTTTGGCTGTGGGTCATCCTGAAGCAGTGATGCATTTTCCCTGATCCTACCACATCAGCCAGCAGAGCATTTTGTCATTGCCCTCCAGGGCTGTCCATGGGTATTCACATAGAAAAAAAGGGGAGAGTCTCCATCCTGACACACTTGCCAAGAGCCAGCACCACACCCTCGCCTCTCTGAAGCTTCAAGCACAAATGGGCATTTGCCAGGTCTCACTTGTGGAGGAACAAGGTGGCTGAGCTCAGAAGCTGGAGGTGTACTGTCAGAAAAGAGCAGCAGGTCTCTGGCCCAATGCTGCCTTTCCTTTGTCCTTCTCTGTCACACTCCCTGCAAAGGGATGAATCACCATTTTGTTTTGGGAGCTATCATCCTCCTCATTGCTTTTCTGAGAGGCAGGCACCCAGCTCAGATGTGGTTYATTTCCTTGTAATGCAATTTTCCTGCTTGTTTCTTTTGGGTGCTGCCCTGCCAAGCAGAGTTTGCTTCTCTTCTCCCACCCTCTGCCTCTGGTTTTCCTCATCAGCATCTCCCGTGCTYCGTCCGCCCCTTTGCAGCTGTTGCCTGGCAATGGTGGCTCTGGCACTGCCACCCGCTTTGCAGTGGCCAGGCCATACCTGCACCTTACTCCACAATAAATCCTGCCATTCCTTTGCACTTCTGTCAGCAAGCAGCTGCAGTTCTGGAAGGAAAATGATCTGGGAATGTGGTGTGACCTGAAGAGAATGGAGGGAGAAATAGAGAGGGTATCATAGAGTAGGGATGGGAGAAAGGTCTTGGGCAGCAGCCCTGGGGAATTGCCTGTTGCACCTGAGTCAGAGGAATTTCATTGAATAAGKTGGCCTTAGCACAGGGGCAACATAAAATGATGCTTGTAGCATCTCGTGCCGAAGGAAGCCAAATCTTCCTACTCATGACATGGTGAGRTTAATAAATAACTCCATTGCAAGCAAATTTGGCAAATGGCTTCAGCCTGTGGGGTATGAGCTGAAATCTAGATGAAATTTGTAATGAACTAACAAAAGTACTAATGGTCCCATCCAGTCTCCCATAGGTTGTATAAGTTTGGGAATCTCAGTCTGCTCTCTGGAGATGATCTGGTTTCCCTGCAGTGGGCCAATGCAGATGGAGGTGGGGAAGAACCAAAATGTGAGASTGCTCTTTTGGTCCTTATGCAGCTGCTCACTTACAGAGTAGGGATGGGAGCCATGGCACCACTGTCCTCCCARTGTCACCTTAGAGATGGGTGATGTGATGTCACCAGTTCCCAGCATCAGCTTCACTAGTGGAGAAAGAGGAAGGTTGGATGTTTTCATAGCRTCTTCAAAACCCTTCAAATCCCTCTAACCCAAGTCCTTCACAGAACAGTGTTTTCTCCCGTCCCTTACAGAAAGCTTTCTGTTAATATTTGAGCAATGAAGAAAACACAGCAGCTGTTAGCGTCATTTTCCTCTTGAAGCAGATTGTCCTCAGGTAAAACAAAACACAATTAAGATACTCACAAGGTCGGTTATATTAGACAATCCATATCCTCATAACGCAGATATKTCCTTCAATGTCTGTCACCAGCATCAAATCCCCAACCGCAGCAAGATAATTGGCAGCCTTGTTCTGGGGAAGATGAAATGGTTTGTGTTGCCACCAAAACCAGCCTGGATTTTGTTTAAGTGCTGGAGCCTGGGGGTGGTATCGCTCATGTAGCTATATTGCTGGAGAGTCATGTATCAAGGACAGGCTTCTGAGGCAGCTTCTGTCTCCCTCCTATTTACTGCTCCATTAATTACAAACCAGATGGCAGGGGAAGATTTAAAAGTCAACTTTGTTTGAAATCCTGCAGTATAAAAAACTTGACCACAACATTTTTTTTTTTTTGTGGTGGGGAGGGGAAACATGAAGGAAAGAAATGTTCTTTAATCCTTTGCTTATAGTTCTTTTCTATTTTATTTTTAACTCTTATTTTTTCTAAGTTGTGGTTGTTTTTCCTTTCACTAAGTGGCGAAAGGCATTTCTCTTTTTCTTTCTGTCTGCTCAGCCCCCAGAAGAATTTTTAGGGTTTTCTCTGAGAACCAGACCTCACTCAAGACCTTCTCACTGCCAGCTGGCAATTCTGTCATACATTCCTCTTGCTGTTTATGCCCCAAGACTGTTGAGACACATAAATGCAGCTGCCCAATTGCTTGACTGTGTTTTATTCATGGACCATGGTACATCTCCTTTTCAGTGTCTGCACAGGCTTCCAGGTGTCCTGGAGCTGCTGGAGACATGGCTGGGGCTGAAAGCAATAGGATGCCTCCTCACAGCCGAGATGACAGTCCCTGGATAGCTGGGATGTTCAAGGACCTGTGGGATGAACTTCKAGCGCCATACTCTGGAGAACCTGGGCAAGCAGGTGGAGCATCCTCCAGCATCACAGAATCATGGAATCWTTTAGCTTGAAAAAGACCTTTAACAGTCCAGCCATTAACCTAGCATTGACAAGTCCACCACTGAACCACGTCCCTAAAAGAAGGCACGAACAAGGAAAGGCATCTAGAGGAACCTGAAGATTGTCCTCACTTCGGAATGTCCCCAAGAGGTTGGTCCAGCCATTATTGAATCTGAATGCAGAATCATGACAAGGCTTGAATGGTTCCCTCAGGCTTCTTTTAGCAGCAAATTATGAAAAAGATTAAAAGTCCCTTCACASAAAATGAGAAACTTCAGCAACAAGGGAGAACAGCAGTGCCATACTACTCTTGTTTCCATTCTCTAGCACACCAACATTCAGCCTCAACCAGAGAGGAGGGAATGGACTGAGGAAGCAAAACATTTAAGAGTAGGAACTGTCTCCTTTCGTTTTCACACCACCAGTTTCCCCCCTAGCTACTGCATTTTTCCACCAGAAGTTTGATTTCCTATTTACTGTGGGATTAACCCTTTGATTAATCTCAGGTCATGTAASGATGACTCTCATGTGTAAGTGGCCAACATGTTTAATCAAGGCCAACCTGATTTTAGCAGACTGCAGAGAGCCCAGTGCAAGGACAGTAGCAATAACATCGTTCAGATCCTTGCTTAGAAAAGCTTTGACCTTAAATAAAGTTCCCCTGTTGTAGCATGTTCAGGAGGGTGCGGTGCTCTGARCTACGTGATGGGACTAAGGCAATGTAATAAAACAGTGGGAAAAAAAATCCAGCAAATTTACACAGGATTTGGGTGTGTGTCCACAAAATTGTTAACTATTCTTATAAATTATCTGAATTTTCTAATTATAAAATTGTTGGAAAGATTAAAGGATGATGGCAAGATGATAAACCCATATAACAGTTTGGAAAGCTTAGAAGCTGTGAGAGTCAAGTGTTATGCCAGTCACTAGGGTTACATTCTCTTATAAACAGGGGAGGGAGGGGAAATAATCTGTAATCACAGAATAATGACCCTTCGAGTGAGAGCTGGGGCACTGGGAGTTTGTACTGGGGCAGAGCCAGCCTGGGGAAATCAGAATGTTTATTGAGAGAAATGAGTTACAAGGTGGCTGAAYTGACTTGAATTCCAAAGCAATTTTGCCAGTGTTTCTGTCAGAGATCTGCGGGCACTGGCACATGCTGCAGCAAGACCAAGGATGGAACGATGGGTTCTATGGTTTTGGGTCCCACCTTAGGAGGGACCCAAGTTTAGAAGGCTGCAAGAGGGCTGTGCTAGAGGGCACTGTGAGCACGGGGGAGGCACAGTCAGGCCCCGAATCACAGGGAAGAGCCAAGAAGCACAGCAGGAGGGACAGCGGCTGGGGACGGGGGCAGCAGTTACAGGTCTGGGACCCTCGGCTAYCCCCCAGGCCTTCCCAGGATGTCTGAGCCACATTAGATGATGACACTGGGGGCCTGGAGAAACTCCCCGATGCAATTGCAGCCTACAGCTTTTACTGGAAAAATGTTTGGAACTTCAGCAAACACTCAGTGCACTTGCTTTCCAACTGGCGCTCTACCTCCTGCTGCTCCTGTGCAGGAAAAGGKGTTGTTGGATTCCTCACCTCTTAGGACTGGAAACTGAACTGGACATTGCAGAACATTGCTACCACAGGCTATTTTTGCAATAGCAAAAGAAACATTACTGGGAACATTGTTGACAAGGGAAACTGARAGAGCTATTTACATTCACTTGAGGAACAGGGGATCTACAATCAGAGATCCAGTCATTCGGTGAGAAATGTAGTTGGGAAGTCCAGCTACAAAGGTTAAAAAYGCTGGGTAAAAATCAAGCAGCCAGTGAGTGGAGTGACCTAACTGCATGAAAGCATGGCTCATTGGTCCCAATTACAGCAGTTTGTAATAACAAAGGGTGATCTCTAGCCCGCAGAGTCTGTAATCTAATCTGAGATTCAGTGCAACCATGAAAAGGGAGAAAAATGGGAGAGTAACGCAAAACAAAACATGATTAAGACTTTGCAAAGCAAATATAATCAGAGCACTTACACAGAGAAGTGGTTGAGTGTTTTGAGCAAGTTCTGATCTCGCATGAAGGCTTCAAATCTTTCTTCCAGTTCCAGAAAGCCCCTCGAACCCGAGGTGCTGTTTCTCCCTTTCTCCTGGTGCTCTTCAGTTCCTCCGGCTGGGGGATGTTTCCAGCAGGATGAGTGTGGCCGTCCTACCGTGGTAAGGGATGTGTGCCGCTGGGCAGGGATGGAGCGAGCCTTTAGCGCGGTCATTTCCAAAGGCACGCCATCTCGCGTGTGCTGCGGCCAGCAGGGCTGCGGGCGGGACAGCGCCGTCCTGCCCCCAACCCAGGCTCGGGTTCACGGGCGGTCAAACAGGAGATGCTGGAACCGCGCCGGGGGCCGCACGGGCTGCTGAGACCCCGCTGCCGGTGCGCTTCATTCCCCTAAAAAGCCGCCAGGCTCACGGCACCCGCGAACGGGCCGGAGTGGCATCGGGGCGGGGTGGGGGGAGGTTCGGTCGCTTTTGCAGTTTGTTGTRTCACACCTCAGCCTTGCCTCTCCCGGGGTCGGGAGGTTGCCCGCGGGTAAGGCTGCCGAGAGACCACAGTCATGGTCACTACGCAGAGCCGTGATTTAGCATTTTACGCAGCGGTGACAGCCCTGCTCTCGCATTGAGAGCTCACCGCAATACCGGAGCTTTCTGGCTACTTCTGGGCAAACTCCTGATGTGGCTGTGAAGGAGGACGGAGCCAGTTCCCAGCWCTGGCTGCCTTCAGCGGAAAGGCGTGCGGGGCGGTCAGGGCGGCCGCGGCAGCGGATAAAGGCACCGGCACAAACACTCCCGACAGACGCCTCTGCTCGAGCCCTGTCCAGCCCCTCCGCCGAGGGGCAGCGCCCGTGACCCAGCTCGGTATCTCTCCCATTTCGGAGCCATTCCCGGCCCACAGCTCACTCAGTTCCGCSGGGAGCCGTGGGATGCGGTGCCCGGGACACTCGGCCCGTCGCCGCAGCCCGAGCGCGCCCGCCCCGGCGGCGAGAGCCCCGGCCCGCTCCGGCCGCCGCCGCCCCCCGCCGCCAGCGCCGGCCCCAACTCGTCATTGGCCGCCGCCGCCGGAGGGCGGATGACGCCCGGGCGAGAGCGGGCGCCGGGGTTATAAAGGCCGGGCGGGCTGGCGGTGCCGCGCTCCTGCTGCCCCGCACCGGCCCGCGATGCCGCGCGGGTTCCTCGTCAAGCGCAGCCGGCGCCCCGGCGGCTCCTACCGGGCGCGCCCGCGGGAGCGGGACCCGGAGCGGGACCCTCCGCCCGCCCCGCCGCCTCCCCCGCCGCCCGCCGGCGCGGACAGCCCCGCCGTTAGACAGGGGGCGGAGGAGGAGGAGGAGGGCGAGGAGGAGGAGGAGGGAGCCGTCGCCGCTTGTCCCGCGACGTGGCCCCACRGCGGCGGCTGCGGCGGCCCCGGGCTCATTCCGCCGGAGGGTCCTTCCGCTTGGGGGGCCACGGGGCCGTGCAGCGCAGCGGGGCCGCGGGCGGCTCTCTTCGAGCGGTGCCTCAGCTCCCCCGCCTCCGCCGAGTCCTTCCCCCTGGCCGCCTCCTTCCCGCCCGCCGAGAAGCTGCTGCTGCAGCCGCGCACGCCGCTGCCCGCCCCGCCGCTGTCCTCGGTGCCCGCGCTGAAGCGACCGTCGCGGGCCAAGGCACCGGCCAAGAAGGGCAAGGCCACGAGGAAGCTGAGCTTCGCCGACGAGGTGACCACCTCGCCCGTGCTGGGGCTGCGCATCAAAGAGGAAGGGCCCGAGGGCCGGCCGGGGCCGCCCGCGGGGCGCACGCCGCTGGGCGAGTTCATCTGCCAGCTGTGCAAGGAGCAGTACGCGGACCCGCTGGCCCTGGCCCAGCACCGCTGCTCCCGCATCGTGCGCGTCGAATACCGCTGCCCCGAGTGCCACAAGATCTTCAGTTGTCCGGCCAACCTGGCCTCGCACCGCCGCTGGCACAAACCGCGTCCCGGCCCCAGCGCCGAAGGCGCCGCGTCCGCCCCCCCGGGCAAGGAGAACAGCCCCGAGCGGCGGCCCCGCGGCCCCGCCGCACCCCCGCCCCAGCCACCGCCGCCCGCCCGTCAGCACCGCGGCGCGGACAGCGCCGGCGGCGCCCCGACCACCCTCGGCTCCGGCCCCGGCCCGGCTCACAGCGGCGCTCCCGGTCCGGGCGGCGGCGCCGGCGGGGAGGCGTTCGCCTGTCCCTGCTGCCAAAAGCGGTTCCGGCGGCAGGCTTACCTCCGCAAGCACCTGGGCACCCACGGGGCAGCGCGGCCCGCAGCCTTCGGCCAGCCGGAGCGCGGGCCCGTCGCCTTCGCCTGTCACCTCTGCGGCGCCCGCTTCCCCTCGGCGGACATCAGGGACAAGCACCGGCTGTGGCACGCCGTGCGGGAGGAGCTGCTGCTGCCGCCGCCGCCGCCCGCCGGGGTCCCCGAGAGCGGCGCGGCGGGCGGCGAGCGGCAGGGCTTCCCCTGCAAGCACTGCCCCGCCACCTTCTTCAGCGCGCCCGGGCTGGCGCGGCACGCCAGCAAGTGCCACCCGCCGGAGAACAGGCAGGTCCTGCTGCTCCAGGTGCCCGTCCGGCCGGGCTGCTAGGCCCGCGGCCGCCCCGCTGGGACTGCTCCGAGAGCCCGGGCTAGCCCAGCGAGCCCTGGCCACGCTGTAATTCCTATGGAAACTCGCGGCTCTCACGGCTACGACGTCGGAGGAGCCCCCCGGTGGCTCCCGCCCGCCTTCCCCGGCCGCTGGGTCGCGACGCGCGCCGGCACGGCGGGGTGTTCAKCCCGCGGGCGGCACTGGCCCGCAGGGACGGAGCGCCGCGCAGCCCCCCAGCCGCCGGAGGACGGGGAGCGGCCACCGGCACGGCCCGGGCTGGCGGCAGCAGGCGAGGAGCCCCGCCAGCATCTGCCGAGAGGCGGGCGATGCCGGGGCGTCGGTGGCGGCCACCGCCAGTACATCTTCCGTAGCGCCGGAGAGAAGTACAGCTGTATATAGGGTATCTAAAGAGAGGAATTATTTTTCGTGAGAAGAAGAGCCTGATTCAGTGACCTTGTTTTAATAGCCTTAGCCCCCGAGCTTCAACATTCGTGAGGTGTTTTGTTTGCTGTACTCTGTACTAAGATAGCCAAGAAGGTAAATGTTCATATTAAGTCAGTGTCGAGTCATATAATAGATAGCAAAACGTATGGGAAATTAATCGTGCTGTCTGCTTAATTGAAATATGAGGTGTTATTCTATAGCTAAGTATGCATCTCCCGCTTACTCTGTGTCTCTGTACTCTAGCAACCGTGCGGCAGGCGAAACACACGACTCTGGCAGCTGCCCGTTCCAAAACCTGCTCCACTCCGTTGGTGGCTTGTTAGTGCGGCACGGACAGTAGCCAGAAGAGCAATTCAGTGTCACCCGGCTGGGCAGCGTGTGGCCCTGACAGCTCCTGCATCACAGGCTGCTCGCCTTTCCAGGCGGCCTCCGACCCCTCTCCCTCATGAGCTGCGCTTTCGATGTGAGCTCCTCCGAGTCTTGTGAACAGCTGAAATTAGGACAAGAAGCAGTCTTTACACATGTTGCTAAAGCGCAGGTGACAGGCTACCATCCTTCTCCCTAACAASACCTACCTTTAGCAAAGCAATCTGTGGTGTGTATTCCCTGGCTTTTACAGTGCTCCGGCCAAATACTTTGAAATGCTGTTGAATTTACCTGCTATTGACACTTCAGCCAGTATTTGTTTATTTATTTATTATTTATTTTTTCCATGAGTGCTTGTTTCTAAATGTGATAGCAGATGAGGCTAAAAATAAGGGCAAGAAAATTCAATAAAAGGTTTAAAACAAAGCTCACGCCTTTCTTGAATTCAGCAGGGCAAAGTGGGTCAGTTAGTGATTTCTGAAGAACTAAATTGATCACAGTCGTAGTCTTTGTTCTAACACTCTCTCTGAAATGAGCATGCAAAATATTTCAATCTCTTGATTAGCATCCTCTAAAGCAATTATTTCTGTAGTTTTATATTTTGCTATACACAACAAAAGATGTATCATGCCCAACGGCTGCAAGCAAGTGATAAGTGCTCTATGTTAAATATGCTTCATGGACTTCTGTCATTTTAGTTCCAGGACCCGGACAAATGAATTAATACGATATAACTGAATGCAGCCAAGATTTGCTTTCTGACAAAAGAGGCTAAACTTGCAACTCACTAATATGCCAAAAATAAAGTATGTTGTTTTAAGTTGTGCATTTTCCCGTTGTTTGTTGGTAACAGAGACTTAGGTAAAAATGCCATTTATGCAGYTAAATGAGTTTGCCTCCAGAGAAAGTCACTATGTTTTTAAAAAAAAATTTCCTTCTCCTCTCCCCTTGCGTAGTCAAAGATGAAGGGCTCCAGACCACACAAATGTGATGATTATTAACTGCTCCTACAATTAGCACTTGAACAAGCAGCCTGCAGGAGGGAACAGTCTATGCTTTATATTACCTGCAGAGCTACATGCAATGTATTTACTAGATCTGGAGAAAAGTTTTCAGTTGGGCATTCTTGCAAACTCGTGTGTACTTTTTAATACAAATGAAAACTAAGCTGTGTATTGCATTTAACTGCTCCATATGCATGTAATTCTTCAACAAATTGAACTAAGAATCTAATGAGGAGGTGAATAACTAATATACGAAAGGYGGTAAGAATAATTTTATTGGATTATTAAATAGCATGTCTTCTCTTCAACCATTACAAATTTGTAGATACTACATGAATGACAATACATAATTTCTTTTTTTATTGTTGCCCATATGATATATTTACACATGCAGTTAGTACCAATGTCATGCTACATTTTGTTAACAGCACTTTGTTGTTTACTAGACTCAAAATGTGAGCATTTCATGTGTAGGAAAATACCTCTGGGTGGGTGGAACTCGTGTGCTAATCTGCACTCAGAGGATTGAAACTATCAGCATTTCAAGCCAGACTCCCGGAGCATGTTCCCTTTTCTTCCCTAGTACCTATCATCACTGCAATGAATTTCTATCAGGAAAGTGTTTGTTTGGTTTTAATTTTTTTTTTTTTAAATGTAAGAAAAAAGAATATACATCTAGATGGAGCAGTCTAATGACAACAGCTAAAACTCATGAAATTTGATGTCATTTACTACTGACACCACTTGGAAAAGCAAACATTATAAAAATATTTGGAAGCCAAGCATAAGTAGAATTTCAGCACAGTGATTTTCTTTTCTGGCATAGATTATCTGCAGAATTATGAAATGATACATCACTTATGATGAAAGAGCTGGTGCTATGAGCAAATTATTTCATTTGGACTCTGTAATGCTTGAAAGGCCATTGAACTATTTTATTCTCAACATAAATAATTGTACACATCCTGTGCATTAACATTGTGGCATCTGACAAAGACTTTACAAATGCAACTTCAATTTAAAATTGTACATTCATTTTCAAATTGTACATATTTCTTTCTTTGTTACAGAAAAAATTGCAATGGGGCACAATAAATACATTGTAATCCAACTGCAGTCTCCAATTCCATATTGACTTCAGATCAACCAGAGTTAAAACCCAAAGTTAGGATATCACAATCATCCAAGAAGGTAAAAGGTGCAGGGCGCAAACTGCACCACAAAGAAGAAAAAAGGCAGACYGGAGTTAGGTAAAAAAACAAAGCTAAAATATGAAAGTAAAATTCCAGTGTCACTGTTTAAAATAAACATACAGAAAAGGAGTACCAGGGCATGGGCACACACACAAGAGACATCATCCTTGAGTGAAAGGTGTGAGCAGTAAAAAAAAAAACCAACCCGGTGAAAGGCTGCGGGAAGGGTGGCCAATTGCTGTTCACTAAAAGCTGCAGGCATCTTGCCACTTAGGACTTGTTGGCTGAGCCAGAGGAGCGGCGCAGTTTCATGGACATGCGGCTCTTGCTAGTCCGAGGAGACATTGGAGAGGCTAAGTCTGTTCCATCCACYTGTGCTGTTGCTGCTGCTGGAGTTTCTCCCGGCTGAGTCTCTGGGCAGAAGCCTGCAGAGGACAGCAAGAACCAGACGGGTCAGTGCCGCCTTCCACACTTGCAGCACGGRATCTCTTAGCAAGGGGAGAGAGGATTTTCAGTGCTGCTGTCACTGCCACAGCATCTCCTAGCCCTTTACCTGCTGTGGGTGATGGTACTGCTCATGGAGTTAGCAACTACCATAAATCCACCCCTAGAGAAAGGATGATTCCAGAARCCACTGAGCTATGGGACTGCAGAAGCCCCTTGCTCTGAGCAATTGAGGCAGCACTGAAGTGGGCAACGTTCTCCCGCTAACCAGGAAAACAAACACCTCCAGCTGCCTTGTGGGGCACTTAATCATTATTCAAACCACAACCCAGAAGAATCCAGTCTTTAATGAGAACATGAAGGTTAACAGCTCATTGCACATGAAGGGAGCTCTAGGAATGCTGCTGAARAGGTGGAGTGAATTGGGGGCCAACTGATAGACCAAAACATCTTCTCCCATCCCAACTTTAGTTGGTGYTTCAAAAGGCAAATTCCTACAGGGCCCACAAGGCAGAAGCTTGAACAGATTGTACTAACTGGATGCACTATACGTTAATGTTTCTTTGTAAAAGGAACAAGATGAATTTGAGACAACAACATGTGATTCTTTAGCCCAGTGCCCAGAGCTACGCTCCAGTGGCCCCGGAGTCCTCACTGCAAGGGGAAAAGGCTCTTTCCTACAAAAGCCTGTCTCCAAAGCTTCTTCCGTAGAGGTACAAATGGAAAAGGAGAAAATATGAAATCAATACTACATTCTCCTTCCCATGCTACAGAAAATTAGTACTGTGAACTCCCATCCGTAAAACTAAACTGCATTTTAATTGGCCATTTACAGAGACTGACAGTGTGATTGAACTCAGCTACCTCAGTTGCCTCTGAAGGCTTCTGACCCATTTAAATTTGAGACAGAAGCATAGTCCTGCAGGTGTCAATGGGGAAACCCCTGCGGACTGCAGTAAGCCAGAAATCACTTGCTATTTCTTCCACATCATGCTATTACTGGAAATTCTTTAAAATAATAATGCAATAATCACAACTGAAGATCTATCTCAGTATATGTTTCACATATAAAAGGTGCAAAAATCATTCAAAACTGTTCATGATTTATTTTGGAAGATTCCTCTAAAATCAAATGAGTCACAAGGTAACAAGTCTAGGAGTAGATTTTAAAGATTGTCATGAACCTGTGGTATTTAGCAACCTGGCTGTTCTCCTTGCCTGGTCCCTCACCTGCCTGCTCCAGAGCATCAGCATAGTACTTTCTATGTTCAAACTGATACGACCCATCAGAGTGACAGGGGAGAGAAAGGGCTGTTATTTGTTCCCCAGCTGGTGACAGTAATTCTGTTCATGAACTAGGTACTTCACTGCCAAACAATCTGGAAAAGCATGATAATGCCCGACTTACTGTGCCTTATAGAAAAAGGCAGGCAGGGAAACATGCATTCGCATTTTCTGAAATTCTATCTTGTTCTGATTTTACAAGAAATTAAAGCATTTCAAATGGTGGAAATTAGAGAATAGAAAATAACCATTGTTGTTTTGCACAGCATACCATTCACAGCTAGCGTGAAAGACCTTCCGTTTCAAGCCTTTGCCCTTTACCTTGATGTGGCCAATGCTTTCTAGTGGAGGTTTTGGAAGGAGAAGAAATATCACAGCATTTCTTTCTTTGTTGAGAATGAAGAAGTGATGAGGAAGGAGGAGTGGAAAGAAGTGAGGAAAGGGGAGGAGAAAAGATAAAAGATAACAGGTGTGAGACATGAGACACGAACCGCAGAGATTGAAGGGTATTAACAGATGAGCACAGAAAACGGAATTTCGAATTTCATTATGCAATTGCTGCTCATGCTACAGGTTAAAGAGAGTGATGAGTTAGTTATGTGCAATGAAGCAACAGCTCTGAAATCCGGCATCATACTTACCAACTAAGCATTACAAGAAAAAAAGGAAGGGAGAGAGAAAGAAAAGAATACTATAACATTATCCAGACCCAGCAACCTTATTAACAGCTACTAAAATACATCCTAAACACTGTCTGAAATGCTTGCTTAACATCTGTGAAAACAGCTAAATACTGACACACATACACACAACTGAGAAGGAAAAACAAATGGCAACTCAGTATATGGCTTCTGTTCCCCGGCTACTTCACAGTACTGAAAATGTCAAAATTATAGCCAGTCTTAACCTGAGACTCCTGAAATCACATAAAGAAGAAAAAGCAACTAGTTTGAAGCTGGTCTGCATTGAAGGGTTAAGCCCTAGTGTGAAATTTTATCATGGGTTGTTGGATAAAGAAAACCTCAGTGTGCCCATTATTTCAATTTCAGTATTATTCCAGTTGTAGCTTAAATTTTTGTTTCTAATTCATGCAGATAGAAGCACAAATTCACATTTAACACATTTTTTWAAGAAACTTAAAAGTTATTGAAGAACAGAAGTCATGTAAAGTGATTTTCACATCTAAACATACCACACCAAAAGAGTGAAGAATAACAGCACTTAAAATATATTAAAAGTCTGACAAATTAAAAGATTAATTAGTAACTAAATTTATTTGGATTTTAGATAAGCATATATATCTATATATACATACATACGCTCATACACACATGTGGATATCAACTATGGTATATACAAATTTTGCAGGTTTCGCTTCCCCTCCAAAGTTTTAAAATTTTCAGTATGAAATGCTCTATAATCTTTATCTCTCTCCACAATTGTCCTGGTTCTGGTCAGGACTGGATTAATTTCTGCAGTAGCCAGGAGGGGGTATGGCTAGGACCTGAAGGTTTTTCTATACCACCTTCTGTCATTTTCCAGGAAGAGCTCACTTGTGGGTCAGTGTACTGTGGTGGAGGGAGTGGGAGGGTATTGTTGTGGGGGTTTTGCCTCCTACGTCAAATCATTCACCTCTTTCTTGTACTCTCTGTCATTAGCATTGTTGTTACTGTATGTTTTCTTCTCTCATTGCTGTTTCAGTAAAAACATGTTCTTATCTCTTGAGCTTTACCTTTTATGTCTCCGATTCTCCTCTCCAGCCTGCCGAGGGGAAGGGGAGTGGGAGGATGGAGCAGCACATGGCTTGGAGTAGTTTTAGAGGAACATTGAATTGAAGAATTTCATTCCTAAACCACAACATCCTTCTTTGGTGCCCAGGGTGAGGCACAAAGGGTTGAGATAACAATGGATCTGCCCARAGCTAGCTGAAGACAAACGTGATGTAATTTTGATTTGTTGCATTAGGTCCTGATCTACTGGTCAAAATGTTGCTTGGTCTGCTCATGTGGGTGTGGTACCTAACCCTGTACATGTTTCTGTATATGGACTATATGCTCATAATGGTGCCCTGTTTCAGAACAAGGAGAGGGATCAGGATTGCTTTGTTACTGTGGGGTATCAGTTTAAGATGTGATAACATCAAGGGCAGGGAGGGTCATTTGGGATGTGTATTCAGTGTTGCTCTCCAATCCATTCTTAGGCACTGCCTCTG